TCAGTTCTATCCTTGCTCGCTCTGCGGTGACGCTCGCAAGGACGAGAGCCATCTCCGCACATATCGATTCCGAACCAACGAGTCTGAATCTGCCCAGCGTTATCCTCTCTGCAAATACTGCCTCAACAGGGTGCGATCTACCTGCGACTTTCTCAGTTTTCTACGCATCCTGAGAGATGGGCACTGGCGGACAGACCGTGAAGACGCCGAAAAGGCCGCTTGGGAGGAAAGCGTCAGGTTGCGAGAGCAAATGTTCTGGGCGCGCGTCGGCGGTGGCGTTGTTCCAACCGGTCACCCTGTCCAAGGTGAGGCAGAGAAGAGCCCGCGTCAAAGCCACGAGACATCCCGCAAGGCGGAAGCTGCGACAGCGCCGAATGCCATTGGATCCGGCGGCGATACAGGTGGAGGTTCTGAGCCCGAATCTCCTGGGGACACGGCCGCCATCGAAGGTGGTGTCCCGTTAGACGCTGCCGAGGAGACTGTGGTCCAGCCCGTCACACCATCACCGAGTAACCGCAACTCAACGCAGACTCTCGAGATCAAGGACGTCACGAATCCGAACGGCGAGGTCAAGAGGCTGTCCATCACAATACCGACTGCTGAGGTTGAGCAAACAAAATGAAGACGTTAGTCAGCTTATCGACATGAAACTTGCGCAGGAAAAGCCTGCGATATTCCTATCACGACTACTACAGACCCTGACGCATATTTTTCGACATTATTGTTCGGTGTATTAATATCATTTCTTTATCTATTTATTGACTGGGAAACTCGATCGCTCGTCAGGCAGCTGCGGCAGACGCGGCTGTCAAGGGGATGGGATGGAGAGGAGGATTGAATAAAAAGCAGAGAGCACAACATGGCATGCATCAACACGATTGGGCGTTTTGGATTTCTTTTTTTTTTCAATTGGCGTTCGGGATGGGGCTCGAGGACGACACGAGGAGAACCCATGACCTTACTCACAACGTTCTCCTCGCTCTCGGGGTATGCCGGCCCCTGGCGCGGACAGACACTGGCTTGGATACTTTCACCGGTTTTCTTTTTGCTTGGCTGTTAGACATGATGGCAGGTGGGAAGTACAGCGGGCGAGCACCCGGGGGGGAACATGACTGGGGAGTTGAGGTGCCCTGACATTGGGTTTGTTTAGAAACGAGTCGTTCCGCGGCAACGACTTCTTAATGCGAGATGGAGATGACAATGCTCTATGACTTGTCAATATCGTACTTCAAGCGGTGCACCTATGCTACACTTGATGCTTGCACTCTCTCCCCCTCTCTCTGCCCACCTGTGGGTCCAGTTACTTGAGAAGCCCAAGGATGGCCTCAGCGTGCCTGGTCCACCGCGCGTGGCGATATACCTGAAGTTCCGTCCTGGACAGCCACGTCTTCTCACAGAAAACAAGTCCTGAAAGGGTATGCAAAGCGCAGTGGTCATTATGATTTGTATTGGTACACAAGTGTATCGTAAGTGAGAAAAGGAGGGTTGGGAGGGTTTTCTCTTCTCAAGAAAAGCCCCCCCCCCCCCCAAAACTGGCAAGGAATGCCGCCCATCATTCATTTTCTGTCTCCTCGGCCCCTTTCGTCGCTCGAACGAGGTCCCTTCCCTTCCCTCCGTTTTGTTGTGTTTTATTTTCGCTCAAAGCCAATAGGGCGGGAAACAAGTTACCGTGTCCGTCGTTAGCGGAAGAACAGAAATGACAAAAAGGCCATGGAGAGCCGAGTCAAGACATGTTTGTTCACAGCTCCTCCTTGACGGTGGCCTCCTTGCCACCCTCACTGGCGGGCTTGGGCTTCTTCTGCTCGGCCTCACGCTCGCCCTTGACGCTCTCGGCAGCCTCAGGCACCTTGGAGTCGGCGTCCGCGACCTTCTGCTTCGTCTCAGGGTCGACGCCCTCAACGTCAGGGTGAGGGGGGGCAACGACGCCGGCCTCCTCGCCGGGGACTTGCACCTCGTTGCCGTTTTCGTCGACGACGCGAGTGCGCGTCTCGTACTTGGTCTTGAACTCGACCTTGCCCTCGAGAGCCTTGACCTGCTCGTCGTCGAGCAGGTTGCCGTCCTGGTCGCGGTACTCGATGCGCTCCTCACGGGCCACGATGCGATCCGCGGGGATCTCTGCGGCGCCCGAAACAGCCTCCTCGTTGACGTTCTCGAGGGGCTTCTGGGCGTCTGCCGCTTCGTTCTCAACGACAGCGCCCTTGGCGGCCTTGGGCTTCTTGGACTTCTTCTTCGAAGGCTTTGAAGGCGTCTGCTCGGCGCCGGCGGAAGAGACGGTTGCAGTCTGCGAGTACTGAGCATACTGTGGGGAGGGCAAACGGACGGATTAGTACGCGAACCAAAACAACCAAATATAGGAGGGCCTTGCCCTGATTGAAGCGGGGAGGCCTTCATCAGCCCCGGACGGGCAGTTGTCTTTGGGGAATCGTCTCGGTAGTACTTACGTCCGTGGGGAAGGTGTTGCAGTCAAAGTCCCAAGTGCCGAAAAGCTTGACACGGTTGCACTCGGCCTTGGTCCACTGGTTGCCATAGGCAAGGGGAGAGAAGAGAACAAAGACGACGACGGTCAGAGCGAGGAAAATGACGGCGCCGGCCTTGTTGACAATAGTGTTCTTCTGGAAGATGGGAAGTCGGGCAGTGAAAAAATCGAAGATCTGGCAGAAGGCAATGACGGCAAAGTAAAGAGCAGGGAAGTAGTGGTGCAGGAAAAGCTGACGAGCCATGAGGTAGAAAGGAAAATAGTGGAAAGCCCAGCCGAGAACGGAGGTTCCGATCTCGTAGTCAAAACGCTTGAAAATGGTGTTGGAGTAATCACCGCAGTTGCGCTGCCAGCGAAGAATGGCAAACGCCTTGAAGAGAACGTATACGGCGATGGCCAGAGTAGAGCTCCACCAGACGACGGGGTTGCCGAGGAGATAAATCTGGCGGTTCTGCCTGCCCCAGAAGTTGATGCCTCGCTTCAGGACGGGCCAGGCCTCGGGACGGGAGTCCCAGGCGTGAGAATCGACGAGGCCAGCGTTGGTCTTCCACATGACGCGCTGCAGCTCCCAGAACTTGCCGAAGAAGCCAGGGTGACGGTAGTTGACCTTCTCGACATCTTCTCCGAGTTTGGGATGCTGGTTGGCCTCAATGTACCACAGGCTGTTGGGAAGGGTACCACCTTTGGCGCAGGTGACCTCCTGCTGCTCGGAAGCCCAGTCGGGGAGCTTGACCTTGTGCGAGAAGAGAACGCAACCGGTCATGACGTGAACGAGCCTGAACTTGGTCTCGATGGTGCGGAGACGCTCCTTGGCGACAGCACTGATAGACTGCTTCTTGACGATCTCGACGCGGAAGTAATCGTTGGCATCACCGTCGAAACCCTCGTATCCGTAGGCAGAGACTTCGTTCTGCCAGTCAGCCTCGGTGACAGGAGGGCGGACATCGTGGGAGTGGAGACGTCGGTTGGTCTGAGTGTGGTACAGGCGAAGGACGGCGCCGTTCTTGATGTAGATGGGGTCCAGGTCATCCCAAGCATTGGTGCCGTTGATCGCCAGGCCATTGATATCAAGAGGCTGCGATTGGTTCTGCAGCATCCAGACGTTGTTGTCATCCTTGTGGGGGTACAGGGTGATCTGCTGCTGCTTGCTGCCGGTGGGGTACATCAAGGGGTGCGAGTGCAAGTAACCGCCCTGTGTGTTGACGTGCCTAATGCTGACGCGGCTACCCATGATGACATCGGCCGCTACATCCTTCATGCCCTTGTTGTTGAGGGTCGATTGGAACTCGGAGCTCATGAAGCCGTCGCCGTCGCCAGGGTTGACGAGGCACACAAAGTGAATGGCGAACATGGCCAGGTAGAAAGTCAGAGGAATGACGATGAGGCAGAAGACCCGGGCGAAGAAGTGCTTGAACCAGATGCGCTGATGAGTCGGTCAGAAATGCGCCATCACGGAACATACAGCAAGCACAACGGAAGTGAGAATACGTACCAGAGTGACCGTCTTGGTGTCGCCGAGCAGAACCCACAGCTGGACCAGCGTCAAGCTGCCGACCCAGGCAATGGTGAAGAGGCCAACCCACTTGATGCTGAGGGTGGTACCGAGTCCCAGACCAGTCATAACCAGCCAGAACCACCAGCTCAGGTCGAACGCCTTCTCAGGGCCGAGTTCGTGCTGGTTTGTGAAAGAGGTGAAGGCGAGGGCAGTAAAGGCAGTAGCGGACCATCAAAGGCCGAATCGAGAAAATGAGGCGA